GCAAAGGGGAGCCTGGCTTGCAGAGGCTACAGCGCACAGCAGAGCCAGGCCTCCTGTGCTATTGCCGGGCCCCCCATGTCCTCCTGCCTGTGAGCCCTGCAGTCAGTGCTCCTACCGCTGTTTCTCAGCTCCTCGTCTGCAGACAGGAAAATCAGCAGCTACCTCAAAGGTTCATGAAGATCTAATAATGTACTACATGCAGAATATTTAGGAGCGTGTTGGGCAAATAAAACTGTTCGTTTTTATTACATTTCCTATTAACAGTAATTTATTAATATTATAAATAAAAATAAAGATAAAATGATATAAGCATTACATTATTAAAATTAATTCAGATCATAAGATGAATTTATGTCTTCTAGATATTTATCCCTTGTGAGTTTAGGCTATTACAAATATCCTCAGCTAACGTATCATCTGTCTAAACTTTGTCTAAAGCATTTTCATTAAATAGGATTTCTCAATTTTGTAGTCAAACTTTTTTCAGCCACACATTTTGCATACTTTGGAGTTTCATTTAAGAAAGGTTTTTCCCTCTCTAACATCACAAAAGCATTCTCTCATTTATTGTTATATTCAGTTCCAGATTTTAGCCAGTACTGACCCTGAGATTAGCGTGTCTGCACTTCTCGGAATGAATCCATCTCTCAGTCTCTCCTTTATTTGAACTGGTGCACTTGAACATAAGGTCCATGGGGCAGATTCAGAACACAGAGACTTCATCAGTTAGTGGAGAGAGTGAAGGGGAACTTACATTATGTTTACACTGAATGCAATGAGAGAACTGAATGGGTGCGGGCAGAGGAGTGAGCTGCTGGTGAAGGCTTTATTGAGGAGGCGGGACAAGAGGGCAGGGGGGCTGCACCAGGGTGAGCAGAGTGTAGAGATGCGGTGGGAGGGCAGCAGGGGCAGTGTGGAGACTTCTCTGAGAGAAGCAGAGGACAAGTACTGGGGAAGATGTGGAGGGCACTGAAAGCCAACCAGAGGCCTGGGGATTAGATACGAAACACAGGAAATCATCATTAGTGCACGTGTGTATGAGAGAGAGAGAGAGAGAGGAGGAGGACAGTGGTCCCATTTTGACACCAGGGTTTACAAACTAGTTTGGGGACTGCAGACAAACTGGGAAAAGGGGAAGCAGGGAGGTCAGGGGGACAACAAGGATCAGGGTCTTCCTTGGCAGGGATGAGGACCACTCCTAGATCAGGTCGCAGGGATTACATGACTCTGTGAGGGAAGAGACACAGGCAGGGGTCTGTCATCTGGCAAATGAAGCACAGGAGGGAGCTCCCACGTTTGCAGGCCCAAGGCTCTGAAGAAAGGGGGACCCTTGGGGGTGCGCTGAGGTGGCATTTTCAAAGAAATTCATTGATGTGATGTCTCAGGGAATGTGGTCCCCGTGTGCAGTAACGGACATCGAGCAAGAGCTTGACAAATGTTTAATGAATAAATGCACATGTGGTCTTGGGAGTCCTAATCAGACACTCCGAAGGAAATATTCTCTGGACAGCTGGAACACACACCGAGGAACTGAGGATAATGGAGCCCCACCTGACACCCCCCCCATCCAGCACCCACTGAAGAAGCAAGAAAAATTAGTAAAGGTGACAGAGAAGGAACAGAGCAGGAAAACAAGAAAATGCTTTCTTGGGCTTAGGGTTTGGAGAGATTTGGTGGCATCATCAAACGCCATAGAAATCACTTGGTGGTCACGGGCATGTTTCTGCAGAGCACGGGACACAGAGTGTAATGGTATTTATCCCCAGGGCAGGGAGGACGTGAGGGCATCTGCCAGGCGGCAGTGTCCTTGGACACAGTGCTCCTGCCCTGCACCTGCTTTCCACGCATTAACAAGTGTTCCTACAGAACTCAGAGCAGCCCCACCCTGGTGGGTGCCAGGGTAGTAAGCTCACAGCTCTGACCCAACCTACCAGAACGAGACCCCCTGAGTGTTGGACTTGAGTTCCCAGGGGACTGGGAATGTGCTGGATTCTAGGAAACAAGAGAAGGTTTAGATATCCTTCGAAAGAACTTCAGGGTACTTGGCCTTCCTCTCAATTTGCATTGATTTAAGGGTCGTGTCTCAATTAGCATTTAAGCCGAAACAGTCACCATGTGCTGCCGTTAAGCAAATTAGAAACAGTTAAACCAGGAGGCACAGACAATTTGGATGGACTAGTAAGCTTACTCTGGCTGTGTGGCTTCTATGAACAATGTATCAGATACCTTGCTGTGTGCCTTGAGCCCCGCTGCCCTTGAGCAGCTGCCAGGGTTTGACCCAGGGGGCACCACATGCAGGATAAGGAGAAAGTAGGTCCGACTCAGGCCAGGGTCAAGGATGAATAGAAGCCCAGGGTGCCTGGGTGGCTCAGTTGGTTAAGCGACTGCCTTCGGCTCAGGTCATGATCCTGGAGTCCCGGGATCGAGTCCCGCATTGGGCTCCCTGCTCGGCGGGGAGTCTGCCTCTCCCTCTGACCCTCCTCTCTCTCATTCTCTCTCTCTCAAATGAATAAATAAAATCTTTAAAAAAAAAAAGGATGAATAGAAGCCATGGCTGTTGACTTCCTAGGTTTGCTGGGAGAATATAGGTCACCGGCTTCTCCACGCAGCCACCAGATGTCCGCTTCCATTTACCCGAGTCCCAGGAAGACTGGCTGTGCCACATCTGCAGGGGGATGCATGACACTCATCTCCAAGGTCTGGCACATCATGTTTATAAGCTACTCAGCCGGGTTCCAGGTAGACACCAGAAGGCAGCTTGGGGTTCCTCTGGAAAGATCGATGGAGTCCCACAAAGGCACACCAGCCTGTGTGGAAGGCTTCCAGATGTTCGGCCACGTGACACGTGTGGCATCATCACTGAGCTGCAGGCCTCTGTACCTCACTGATCACTCACAAACTTTGCAGTTTCCCCAAGGCTGTTTCTTTGCCGGGCCATCGCCATGGGCCGTGGGGTCTTGCTGGGAGTTTTCCAACAGCCTGATCACAGGCTTTTGTATGTGATACAAGAGAGCTCAGCGTTCTGGGCTGGCACCCCGTTTCCCCACAGCACAGGCCACAGTGGAGACGGCGGCGGTGTTCTGGCTCCCTCAGAGGCTGTCCCCGTTGTGTCAGGAGGAGCAGGCCATGGTGGAAGCAGTGTGACTACATGGTGCATGGAGCTGTGCCCATCCCTGGGCTGTAGCTGTGCTGAGATGCTACTGAAAATCCACATTGAGAAAGGGCTTGCTTGGCAATTATAAACATCACTCAGGTTTAAATGAGAGTCTGGGGGCGCCTGGGTAGCTCAGTCGTTAAGCATCTGCCTTCAGCTCAGGGTCCTGGGATCGAGCCCCACACCAGGCTCCCTGCTCGGCGGGAAACCTGCTTCTCCTGCTCCCACTCCCCCTGCTTGTGTTCCCTCTTTCGCTGTCTCTCTGTCCAATAAATAAATAAAATCTTTAAAAATAAAAAAAATAAACAAGAGTCTGTTTCTGTTATTGGTGGGAATGCCAGTTGGGTGGCTGTTCAATAAAAACCACAGGCTGGCTCTATATGATTCTTTGAAGGCCCTTGGTACTATTCGAAGGTCCACGTGCCCCTGGGTTTGAAAGAGAAATCGGAAAACACAAAGAGTGGGCGTGGGTAGGGCTTGCTGGGTCAAGGCCCAGCATTTGGAATAAAGCATTGCTACAGATTAGCCACCATATGACCAAGGAATGTGCCTATGATGGTTTGGTGACCTCAGAACTTGAGTCAGACTGAGAGAGAAGTGGAAAGAGCTTCCACACTAGTAACCCCATCCCCTAGAAAATGCATTGAGTGGAAAAGAAAACTCACACCCTATCTGTGGACACTTCTGGAGAGGACCGCTTTCCCATCCCCCTCCCTCTCAGCCTCTTTATTTACAGTGCTTTGGACAATCAAGGATCTTGAAAATTCCTGAAACAAACAATCTGATTATTTGATGTTGAAATTTTTTTCAAGGGCTCTACACCAGGACAAAATGACTAAGTAAGCACCTGCCATTTTGGAAGGACTTGTTAAATTCATCTGGAAGTGTTACAGGCGTCAGTAGAACCTACTAAGGAACCGTGTCCTGCCAAGCTGTGCGCCAGGAGAGCGCTGTGGACTTGCAGGGAGTGTGAGAGGGATTTCAGAGTAACTGCTCTAGGAGAGGCAGCTATTATCTTTCAAGAATATTAGGTGCATTTTACACAAGAACTGAAATTTAAGTCTCATCTTTAACTCTCCCATGCCCTCCAATGTCAGGAGCGGCTTCCTATTATCAATCTTGCGTTGCTGCAATTTATTTGTTGAACTATTAGCTATGCCACTGGGCAGTGCTTGCTATTTTCTTGCACTAAAGGAACATTCGTGATGATCCATCTTCCCTGTCAATTAGCCCCTGGAAAAATCCTGGGTCAATAACAGCTAATTCCCTGTTAGGAAACCTGAAAGTAGGTAATCCGCCAGGAGAACTGGCACCAGGAATCAGAAACACGTAGCAAATTCAGACGACTAATAGTGCCCATTGTTGACCAGCTTCCATTGTGTATGGGATTATACCGGCAGAAAAGAGAAAAGAGTAAATCGAATGAAAGATGTTTAAGAATTCTCTCCTCTGAAGAGTGGCCCAGTGAATTGACTTTTCTCTTCCAGGTGATCTATTTGATGTACCTACAGCATCAACATGTCAGCAAGAAAAGGGATCCAAAAAATGAGCTGGTGGGAGAACAAAGTGCTGATTATGGAGGTCGTCAGATTTTCAGTGATACACGTTTGGTCAACAGCCAGCACCTGCCAGGGGCCTCGGTCCACAGCTGTTATTTGTGCTGCAGTCATTGCTGGGTGAGCAGCAATGACTGGGAGGAAGGGCTTCGGGGAAGGGAGGTGGGCTCTGGGGCACAACCCAGAGGAACAAGCATATTTCGCACAAATAACAACTCCAACGAACACTGTTCCAAGGAGTGCCTCCGACTGAACCGAGGTTTCCGAAACAAATGACTCCGCAGAAGGAATTAGGTCATGGCTGGAGGTTTCCAGAGGTTTATTTGGAATGACACAGCACTGAAAACATAACTCTTACAGATGATTTGTGGATACAGCATACATTGCCTATCTTATTTTAGGACAATCTGGGAAGATGAGTTGCATAAAGAGTTGGAAATTTATAGGAGCTTTTTTTTTTTTTATAGTGTTCTTTGGGGGTGGACTTTGATGCCCCATCAACCAGCCAATCTTTGAAAGGCAGAAGGTAACACTACAGAGCTGCTCATCCCGACTAGCTTACCTCCAGCCTCAGCTGCTGGACCCTAGATAACGAGGCTCTGCTTTTCCAAAGGGACAAGGAGCCTTGACATGCTATCTGTCATCACATCCTGACAAATGCACATTACACAACGCAGATACCGTCGACTGTTTTGGCAATGGGATGGCTGGTTTTGCCCCAAGGCAAAACTGCAACTGTAATGCCAGACAGAGCAAGGCAAGAGCAATGTATGGATCAAGGACACTCGAGAGGCAAGAACTACAATGGAATGAAAGGAAGCAACTATGTATATGTAGCTTTGTGCATACACATAGACCCAGGAGTGATGGGAACTAGCATGTAGAACTGCGTGGCCATATACACAGAGAGAGAGAGGTGTTGGAAAAGAACCTTTTGTGTAGCAGTTGAGTTTGAAACACAGTCAGCTTGAAAGGGAGACAGAGCGCGTGCTCACACCTGTGCAGGGGAAGGAGATAATCTCGTACTACAGGATAATTCATTACGTCTTCCACAGGGCAGGCACTCAGGAACCACACACGTGGTGCTCAGAAATGAAGGTTCTGGTCTGGAGAAAGCTACTTGGAAAATGGTGGGAGGGGATCAAGTACAAGAGTCTCCACAGCTTGGACAAAGCACAAAGAAACCTGTTATGGATAACGTGGGAACCAGTGAGGACTTTATCTGTAATTTACTTTTTTCTCTCTCTCTTTTTTTTTTTTTTTTGCACATGTGCTCCATTGATATATCTTTCCAAGCTTTGTCTGGCACCAACCTGTAAATCATTAAGAGTATAATAGCAAAGTGAACTCTTCGGGTTTTCACGGAGGTTTAAAAACCCAATAACGAGGCTCTTTCTACAATATTCTTGGCCCTAATCCAGGCGCCGGGTGAAGTTCTCTGGAAAGAGGCCTTTGTAGGTGGCAAGGTCTCTGTACTGAAGCCAGTCTGATTCCTTCACTCCTACCAGCCAGCCTGCATCCTGCAAGACAAAGACAGGGCATTCAAAGTCCAAGGGACTACTGGAAAAATCTGCTCTGCCAACAGTTAACAAAATAATTTAGCATTGTGATCCTGCACTAGGATGTTACATTATATATAAACCAGTGTGCTGAGATAGGTCAGTGGGAGGGCTTGTCCCAAATAAGTTGTTAGGTAAAAAAAAAAATAACAGTAAACATTTGAAATGATTTATTATCTGGATCTGGGAAAGCTAACTGAACATTAAAACAAATAGTATAATTTTGTCTAAAGTACAACTCGTTGACGTTAACTGGATTATGACATGAGTTCTTAAGGAAGAGAAAAGGATTAGAATGCTAGCCAGGGCAAAGAGAGGACACCACATGAAAACATGTCATGCACAGGAACACTCCCTATTCTGTGGGTCACAGTGAAAAAGTGACATGAGGACCCAGGTCAGAATATAGTGTGGACCAGGCCATGGGAGGTCTCGTATTCCATCCCGAACCACTCGCTTATAGGAAAGAACTCTGTACCCTCAGCTCACATCATGTGACCCAAATAAACCAGCATACACAAGGCTTATCAAATAATAGCTGCTACATCTGGATACCTGCTCTTGCCATTCTGTCTGTTGTTGCTGTTACAGTATTTCATTTTTCAAGTTTATATGAACTACGAAGCAGTTTGTTGTCATGGCATTCTTGCTGGAAACATTCATATATTCTTTATGTATTTTTTATCAACTATTCCTCCTAAACATTGGTCTCTCTTATAGGAGTACCATCATAAAAACAAAGACATTTAGCCACAGAAAGGAAACAGAAGCCACCATGTATGGCCATTTAGCTCGAGAGATGATACATAAAATGGAGAATGGAGGCTGCTATTTGCCCTTGGCCTCTCGCAGATAAGCAGAGCCTGGTTGGAAAAGGCTGAGTGGAAGAAACAGCATGAAACATACAGACTGTATGATGCAAAAACTAGCGGGAGATGACTTGTCTTGATTATGTTAACCAGTCCACGAAAGAGATCCACTTAGGATAAGGGATGGCCAGATTTAATCTGAAGCAATTCCCAACAGAGTTCAAGTACATCAGATAAAATGAGGTCTCCAAAATTAAATAAAGAAGTTGAATACATTCCCTTCTGATGTAATCCGAGACTATAAATTGATGCTGCTATAAAGACAAGCAATATTAGCATTCAGACAGGCCAATTTTTGAAGGCAGAAAAAAAAAACCCAGGGAAAAAGATGACTCAATAAAATGACTGATAATATCCTGGCTAGGAGGAAGAGTGTCCTCTTTAAAATTATGACATGATATACATGAAGGGCGAAGTTATACTTAAAGCAAGAGATGATAACTCATTTTTTTCTGAATCTCCAGCAGCATCTAAAAGGCCGTATTTCCCCCCACAAATGTCTATATTTGACTTTATTTACAATGAGGGAAAAATCTAATGGAGCCAAGCAGAGTCATGCATTTTAAAATTGTTTCAATAAAGAAAAAAAGTTAAGAACTGGCACAAACTCAGAATCAAGATATATTCTAACATGTATATTCTGAAATATAATTTATATAGTAAAGTGAAAAATATTAGCCAATATCAATCTCTAGCTGAGGCAAATAGGGAAAATTAAATGTTAACTGCTTAAAATATGTAGTAGACGAAAGACTTACAGTTCTGGCAATGGCAAAATCGCTTGTATCAGATAAGTGCTTCTGCACAGAACACTTATAAACACTAGAATAACTATATATCTACATATACATAACTACACATCTATATACACGCATGTGTACATATATGCAACTATTTATATATAGAAATGACTTATAAAATATATAACATAGAAAGTTATATAATGGGATTGTTACAAATAACAAGGTGGACATATTTAACAACTATTTGAAGGCACTGGCAGTGACCAAAAGCAGGCAAAAATTAGAGAATAGGGGCGCCTGGGTGGATCAGTCGTTAAGCGTCTGCCTTCGGCTCAGGTCATGATCCCAGCGTCCTGGGATCAAGCCCCACATCGGGCTTCCTGCTCAGCAGGAAGCCTGTTTCTCCCTCTCCCACTCCACCTACTTGCTATCTCTCTCTCTCTGTCAAATAAATAAATAAAAAATCTTTAAAAAAAATTAGAGAATATTTAACTCCTGAAAGTAGGAAATTGCAGTGAATGAGATCCGTGCTAATACAGCTTTCCCTTGAGTATTATCCTCAGTCTGAGTGATGCAGGGCATTCAAAGGAAGAGTGGAGGGCATCCAGAGCAGCTGTATGTTTTTTAATTTTATTTATTTATTAGAGAGAGAAAGCACGAGCAAGGGGAGGGACAGAGGGAGGAAGAGAGAGAATCTTACGCAGACTCCACACCTAGCACATGGGGCTCAATCTCATGACCCTGAGATCATGACCTGTGCTGAAATCAAGAGTCGGATGCTTAAACCCAGGCACCCTGAGCAGCTGTATTTTTAAGGCAGATATTTTGAAAAGAAGAGATGTACAGTGGCAGTTTATCAAATATGCAGAGAAACTTCCCTAAAATCCTGAATTACCCTACCCCCACAAGCTGTGAATATACAGGGGCTCCCCCAAGGAGTCTGGGAGAAAGCAACAGGAGGCAGGCAGAACAGCCAAGGGGAAATTTAAGCCTTGGAGGGGAGGCAGAGTTTAGAGTCTGACTCCCACCAAGTTAGGAGGCTTGGTCAACCCTTTAGGATTTCTACTGATATCCCAGAAGGGCCATCCTTGGGAGTAAAAGATGACTCAGGACTAAGAATTCATCCTAAAAGTAAAGGCAAAATTGAAACAGAATCATCCTAACAAAGTATAAGACAAAACTTCCATGAATTTAATTTAATTATCTAGTAACTTCCATATCTGCTAGGGGGAAAAAGAAACAAGCTTCAAAAACAGAAGATGGAATCCAGACTCTGCAATGTGTCCAATATCAGTAAAAAATTACTAGATATGAGAAAAAAAGGAACATATCCCCTGCAGACAAAAGGCAACTGATATAAATGTGTGCTGAGATGAATTAGTTTTTTGGAATTAGCAGTAGGAAATTAATGTAGCTATTGCAAATATGTACAAGTACCTAACACTGAAAGTGGCAATAATGAAAGAATAGATGGGAAATCTCATGAAAGAAATGGCGAGTAAATTTAAAAAAACAAAAGAAAACACACGAACATTACAGAACTGTATATGTATAGCATCTGAAATGAAAAAGACACTGGATAAGCTTCACAACCAATTTTAAAGTAGCAGAAGAAAGGGCCACTGTACTTGAAGACAAACCAATAAAAATGATCCAACCTGAGTACCAGAAAGAAATACATAGTGCATAAAAGGAACAGTCTTAGACATCGAGAAGTCCAACAGACGTATAATTAGAGAATCACAAAAAGAGGAAAAAGAGAATGAGGCAGCAAAGAATTTAAGAAAAATTAGCCAGAAGTCTTCCAAATGTAATGAAAAACATCAGGTTACAAATCTAAGCACCTCAGTGAACCCCAAGCATGAAAACTACAAAAAAACACAAGACCTAAGCACATTATATTGAACCTATAAAAACCAAAGATACAGAGAAATTCTTAAAAGCAGTCAGGGAAAAAGGCACATTGGATACCCAGAAACAACAGTAAACAAATGGCAGCTGATTTCTAGTCAGAAAGAGCAGAAAACAGAAAACAATGGAACATCTTTAAAGAGTTGAAAGAAAAAAAGTCAACTCAGAATTTTTTCTCTTGGGAAAAGATCTTTAAAAAATTAAGATGAATAAAGAGATTTTCAGATAAACAGAAGCTGAGAGTATTTATTGCCAGCAGATTAGCACTATAGAAATTAGTAAAGAAAATTTTTCAGGTGCCTGGGTGGCTCAGTTGGTTAAGCATCTGCCTTTGGCTCAGGTCACGATCTGAGGGTCCTCGGATCGAGCTCCACACCGGGTTCTCCCTCTCCTTCTGCCCCTCCCGATGCTCATGCTCTCTCTCTCAAATAAATAAATAAAA